TATTTTTTGTTTTCTCGATAATTTTTTGTTTTTTTTATATAGAACAAATTACTTCAACAACAAAGGTTCAGTGTGTTTAAATTTTAGAGTTTGAGTGGAGCAATCAATGTATTGATTTTACAATGATGTGTGTTTTAATTTTTTTTTAAATTTTTGTCTTTCATCAACTTTTAGGACAGTAAAAATGCTTAAATTTTTGTTCAAAGCATCTATTTTGAAAGGAAATCTAGTTAATACTTTGGGGGGGGGGGGGCAAAAGGGAAATTCCCATTAATTTTTAGAAGCGCCAGTAAAAATAAAATAAAAACTTAGAACAATGAAAAAAAACGAGAATTTTTATTTAATTTGGTGTAACTCGAAAAAAGATCATGGATATATTACATTTTCACTGAGTTCATTAAATTTTCTATAAGTGATAACATTTTCAACACTTTTGAATTTGTTATGAGCAGTTTACGGACATCTTAAGTTTCCAATTTGTTTAGTTTTTTTTCTATAAATATTAATAAAATTTTATTCGTTGGGTCAAAAAGCATCCAAAAAAGAATCTAAAATTCTAAAAGGCATAATAACATTAAAAGAAACAAAAAAATAATGAAAAAAGTATGTAAAAAGTAAAGCTTTCAAACTACATTTCCCATTTACATATTTGAAAGGCTTAAAATATATAATTATTAATTGATACATCTATTTATTTATAGTTAATGCCTACTAAAAATAAACGATATATTTGAATACATTGTGAAAGACACAGTCAACAATATTTTTAAAGAACTATAAATATAAAATCAATTTAATAAACCTAGTAAATAACACATACCATTTGGTACTTCTTCACTTCTGTACTGTGTGGAACGATTGGTACTGGTTCTGTTGAAGTGTGAGGAATATTATATTTATCAGGGACTAATTTGAACCAGGAACCTGGTGTCTCGGTCTGGAAAGACTTCCGATAAGCTGAGAGATGTGATTTAGCCATTTCAGCTGGCCAAATATCCTCAAAGAGTGTTTCTGGTGGATACAAATTTTTGATATCATCGAAGCTGACCACTGAGCAGGACTCAATAGCAAAAAACTTAGCCTTAATACCTTGAATTTTCCAACAAAACTTGAGATAAGCCAAATCCCAATTTTCTAATTCCACAGCTCGTTGTATAAGATTTTCTGTATCTCCCTCAAAGTATAATAAAGGCAAATATTTTTGGCCATTTTGAGTATAATATGGTACACAGCAGTGAGCATTAGAGTCAATACGTATAAAACCGCATTTGTCTTCGTAACCTGAAGTATTGTTGCACTCTAATTTTTTATAACATATGTCTATGAATATATAAAAGTTATGAAGATCTTCTAAACGGACGATATAATCTATTCCTGCCAAGAATTGGAATTCTTTCCCATTTCCATAATGTTCTTTGTTTATATAATTTAATAGCTTCGCCTCCGAATCAGTGATGGCATAAGCTATCACTGGTGTGCACGAAGTATAAACATAAGAATTTATATTAATTATATATTTTTTAAGTACTTCATACTCTGCCATCCGAGTAGCTACATATTTGAAATGTTTACCATTAACTGTACGCATTATATATGGTATGCGGTATCCTCCAATTGTTTTCCAAGAAAATCCATCTATATTACATAGAACAACATTAAATATAGCTGTGTTAGTATGAAATTTTAATACATAATTAATTCCTGGTGGCTTACCTTTTAATATATTATGTAGATCTTTCTTCTTCATTTTATCAGCCATTATATTTCAGGATCAATAGTTAATTTTCAATACGTCATTCCTGTAATTTAATAAATTATAAAATTATGTCTTAATACAATTCAAAAAAATATAAATAATTAAAATTAGAAATATGTATATCTTTTTTTTATTTTATTTTTTTATAATTTTGGCAAAATATTATTATTAAAAATCAAAAATTATTTGTGAAAATATTAATCAGAAATTAACAAAATATCTGTTACAAAGACACAAATAACTTAGACATTTTAAATGTTTTAATGTTCTATTGCTGAGAGCGGATAACTTCATAATAAAGAATTACTTTTTTTTTTATTATTCGTCTGTAATGAAAAGATTTAAAATTTTTCAAAGTTACCAATAAGAAATATTGATTAAATTCAAAATAAAACATATATTAGGATTAATGATAGTTTTTCTCAAGCTGGGCGCCTACATAAAACCTAATTTTATAAATACTTCGAACATTCTAAATTTATAATGCTAACAATTAACATAATATTTTCCTCTTTGTATTATGAATACTCAAAAATTTATTTAAATAATAATTGTAATAATATAGTATTTTATATTTAATTTTATCTTCAAAGTTTCTGTCACAAATTTTAGATAAGATTTTATATAAATCTTCTAAAATACAAAATAAATTATCTATTTAACTGACATGGCAGTATTATAAGTTTATAAAATATTATGGACTTTCCAAAATGCTATTCTAATATTTTTAAATGGTTTTAACATTTTAATTGGGAAAACAGTTGACTAGCTTGAATATATTAGCTCATAAAAGTAACTTAAATTACTAATGGATTGCTTCAAACTAATTGTATTAAAGTGACTTGTAACATTAGTTAGTTACTCTACAACATTCGTTATATCAATTATACCGTGTGTAACAGAAAGAACTGACCAAAAAAAAAAAAAATTGATGCTACTTAAATGTATGACAAAAATTGTTGAAATTATATGATTAGTAAATAGTTTTAAGAATATACCCATGTTATAAAATTTCCAAAAATAATATTTTTAAAAAAGCTATTGCGTTCCAAATTTATTTTATCAAAAAAATATTGATATTTAAAAAAATTCTAAAAAATAAACTACTAGACTTAGATAAATGTTTTTACCATCCAAATCGTTCTTAAAATCAGATTCACAAGTTTGCTATTTTGAATTTATTCAAAAAAATTTAAGTCAAATTTAAAATTTTTTATTTTTAGTATAAAAAAATAAAAAAATTTTTTTCCTCTTACACGTGTAGAACAAGTGGCTATAAATTATATATAAAAAAAAAAATTAAAAATAATGATCATAACAAAAGTATTCAAAAGTCAGTTCTATCTGTTACACCCTGTATACATAGGTAAATTACTAAATTTAACTTAACAACATAAATTGTAACCACACCAGTCAAGCATTAATATACATATTGTTTCTAATTTATAGAACATTAGTCATGGTCGACAATCCGCAGTCTGATAATTCAAATTGGGGCGACATTTAGTATTTTATTTTATAAATTTGTATTAAATGTTTTAGAAATACTTGCTAGTTGTTTAAATGACGATCCATCCAATATAGAAGTTAGAATCAATATCTTCAGTGTATTTTGTAACGCCTCACCAAAACCAAATAGCAATGTTAGTTGTAGATTATCCTGAAATTGAAAGTTATTATATTATATAAAGTATAAAATATATTAAATTGACATGGGCGGCTTAAATTAATATTGTTCCTTTTGAGGATGTGTATTATATGTAGGTACTTACCATTTATACCCATGTCAGTTTACATAATTCATATTATTACCTACTTAAAAATACCTAACCAGTATTATAAAAAGATAAACTCTGGTTTACAGTTTCTACCCATTAAGATATAGTTCATTCCATTCAGTATCTATGCTTGCTCTATTTACCTAAACCAATTTTTGAACACTAACATATAATTTATAAATATATTTTAATTAAGTATTCATTGATATCAGTAAAGTAGTTTGGTTTATTCAATTTAAAGAAATCACTTCGAAAAATGTAATATAAATTAAATTAAATTAATGTATAATTAAAATAATATAGGCACAATATATTATCTAAAATATAATAAAAATATTAAGTTAAGTTATAGACAATAGACATACTATGAGTACTTTGTACATAATATTATTCTCCTCAATCACAGACGTATATTATACGTAAAATGTATAGGGAATTTAACTTTTTAATCTATTATACAAATTAGTAGGGGTGGTCCAAGGGGGCCATGGCCACCGGGCTTCGATAATTAGAATTTATTAAGGGGCCTCAGATTTGTCCATTACTTTTTCCATTATAGGCTATAACACTGCATTAATCACCTAAAAAAAATCGATGATTATTTAGCGAAGAAAAAAGCTTGTAAATTATAATTTATAAATAAAGTGATACATTATTCATTATTTATTGCTATGTACCTAATGGCTAATACCCATATATATTTATTATAACGTGCACCTAATATTAAATAATATAATAATTTTTTTTTTCGTACAGAGGCCTTTTTTAAAATTTTGGCCTTTGGGCCTCAAAATGTCTTAATCCGGGCATGCCCATGTGTTTAATAGCTAATTATTATAATATATATTTTATTTTTATTATTGAAACCAATTTTAACCGAGATCCCCCCTACTCTTGTATATATGTTTTGGATCTGATCCAGATCATAAAGTATTTGTAAGCAATAATAAATCAAGTTTAATTCGAAAAACGTACATAGTCCCTATTATACTACATGCTATAATTGTAAAACGTAGCACTGCTATCGAATGTCGCGTTCCTGGTGGCAGAATAACCGTGCGACTTTTGTCAGGCCACTTTATAAACGAGCGGCTATAGGAGTTTGGTCTCCTTATCTCTAGTCTTCATGGTTTTGTCGATAGACCACGACTGTCTACTATCATGGAACGTTGCTTTACATCGATAAACGCTCTGGTAAACTGTTTGCTCTCGGTACGTCCTCCTCTAAAATTAATAAAATAAAATTATTTCTTATCATAGATCGTTGGGCAACCATACTATCTTTAATAGAGGTATTATATTTTTTGAAACACGGCTTTAACCACGGTAATGTTTTCGCTCGTCATTTTTTCCTTTGTGTTGTACCTAACCTAACTGTTGTTGTGACGTGTTGGAATGGCGTTTGTTCGTAAAATATAATACTGAAATTAATTAATTCGGTCTCAAGTGTTAGACATCCTTACGAAATGGAATCAAACAACAAACCATCGGTACGTTTATAGCTTATTATATAGTTGTTTTAAACTTTTAATTAATAAATTGTTTATAATATTATACTAAAACATGTATTACAGACGTCACAAAATCTCCAATCCGATTCGTCTGACGATGATGATGAACATCCTGAAAACTTATCCACTGAAGAGATATGTCATAAAATAAAGGCGTTTCGAAATTTATGTTTTGGAAACGTAAGTCTTATCATTATAAATGTATTATAAAACTTAAACATTGGCCTTTAACCCACGCCCATGTGATTTGTGAGTGTTAGACTTTCTTTAAAAAATTAAATCATAAACAAACACGTTTTCATGGTTTGTTGACAATCGCTTAAAGGACATCACAACACTAAAAACAAGTTTTCTTAGATTTACAGGTGTTTGAAAATATTCTTGTGACGTCATAGAGCCATAGTCTGAATGGCGGTATATGTTTTACGTGTAAAAATAGGTGGACTAAGGCGTCGGTTCTTATGTACACTGTCGCTGGTTCGAATCCCTCGTGGATGGTGGTATCGCTCTCTGGGCAGAAAACTGTTTTGACGTCGAGACCGCCATCCCAAACCAGGCATGGCAGTAACCTACGGGTGACCAATTAGAAATCTTGCCAAATATTCAAATTAGGCATCAAGCCTAATTAGCACCATACGCTAAAAAAAACAATGTGTAAAAGTATCTAGACTTAACAACAATTTCAATCGTAGATAATATTAAAAAAAAAATTTTTATGTAACCTCAAGTGTTTTTTTATGTTTATGACACTGGTGTGATTAAAGTTTTGATATACTTTATAGTTTTTTAGTTGATAGTAGATTAGTAGATAAGACTATAATAGTACATTTTGTAAAAATTGGTATATACAGCAATACAATGCGAGACAGAACCCAATAATTTTACCTAATTACAACTTATAATATGTATACAATATTAAGATATATTCAATTTTAAATCATACCATTGTCTTAAGCACATAAATATACTTAGAATAATTCAAAAGAAAAATTCACAAAAAAAAAATTATATTATGATTTAATGTTAGGGCGATGATATAAATTTAAAACTTATAGGTTGAATATTAATTCAGAAACAAATATTTGTATACCCAACATATTCACAGAAAAAATCATTTTTTTGTTCAAGTACCTTGGTAAAAATCAATTTTCTATATGATGTAATTAATTACAAATAGTTGTTGAGACAATAAGTAACAACGTACCTTTATAAAGATACATAATGAGTTTATGATGTACATTAATATTTTTACAGGTTTTTATTCTGTAGTATTATATACACATTTATAAACATTTATAGAGAATATTAAAGTACCTAGCTGGTGTGACGTCTTTCAAGAAGGTACTTGTATATAAATTGTGGATAATTGCAGGCACAATAAGCAGTTTTGTAGATAGATACCTACTTTTTGAGTAATTTAAAAGCGTACATCCAATGAATTGAGTTTGAATTCCATTACAATTTAACGAAATTATCCCTATGATTTAGTACACTATAACATTTTAGAGTTAGTTATACTGCTTGTCAAGTTAAGAGGACATAATACCTGTAAAATAATTATATAGTTTTCTTTCTTAACCTTGTTCAACAAAATAATATTTGTGTTCAGCAAAATCCATGTTGTGTTATAACTTTTAATTGCTATTAGAGTAAAAAAATGTAGAGTAAAGAATTATAAGAATATTATCTGTGTTCTGTCATAGATTTTTTTTAATTTGTTTAATTTTAAAGTGAATTGAGTATTTTTAAATTCAAATATTTTACATTACTTATGACTTGCTTTAAATTAAAAATAATGTAAAATAATGTAACTTAATATTCTTAACTTTAATTATATGTATGACTAATTGGTAAATATACTGTAATATGAAATTTCACAATACAAAATAGATTCTGCTGATTTGCCATGATGTATGTTTGTAAGATTTTGAAAACACATATGTGCATCACGTCTACTTGGCATTATTAATTAAACCATATATTGAATATTATAGATTAAACATTAACTTTTTTTAAATTTATTTTTTAGGGAATAAATGTTTCCAACGCATTTGACATTGATATGATTGGATGTTTTTATTCTTGGTTGGAGAAAAAAAAAAGCTCAATCTTTGATGATAATAACGATATCACCTTGGTAAATAGTTGACAGATTATGCTAATTTAGACCTTGAATATACTAATCTGTTAGAATTTTATTTGTTTATTAGTTCCATGAGATAAGTGACTATATTGAAGCCTCAGCCATAGTCTATTCTTATTGTGTTGACAATTTGACAGAAACAACTAGTAGACAAGTTGAACAATTTAAATCCATGAACTTCAAAAAAGTACAACTCCAATGGATGATGATAATGCATCGACAATTCAGAAACCAAAGGTATCTTTCAACATTTCATAATAAAATTTTTTTTTTTAATAAATAATATATTACAACATACATATTTTTAAACACTTTTCTTAAGTTCGCTTTCACGTCTGTTTGTCTGTAATCAAATCTTGCTTCAGGTACAAAGGGTTTCTCTGGGTCAAGGGGGGTTAACCTAACCATTACTCGCCGTACTTCAGTAAATTAGCCGTCAGCATATAACAGAATATTGTTGTTAAAATAAAAAAAATTACTTTTAACTAAAAAGTAGAAAATAAATTTTTTTTTTAAAAACACACTTCTAAAAAAAACATTTAACACATTTAGGACGAAGACCGTGTTTTTGAAGATTTTTTTAAGATAATATTATCTTAAAAAATAATTGTTTAGTCGTCAACGTGTTAAAAAAAAATATAAAAAAAATAATGAAAAATGTACAAGTGTGTGGTGCTCTTACACTTGACATATACTCCCAGTCGCTATCTTATAAACAGGATTGAACCAAGAAGTGTATGTGAGACTTAGCTCGGCTTTAAATGTTTTGTATGATGCACCACACACTTTTAAATTTTTCATTATTTTAGATTCTGAGCGGAGCAAGGAAGCTAGTGGTTTTACAATGGTGTTTATTTTTTTTATATATCCTGTATACAAAATTTCTACCAGAAGGAGTGCTTTGATTGGACCAAGATGGTACTTTAGAGAGGTCATTTTTCGATTTTCTCAATAGTTATTTAATGCCACGGGAAAAAGTACTGAAAAATTACGAAAAACCGCTTAAAATGGGATTTTAATTTCTAACAATTTGTTTATCACCGTACCAACGAATAAAAAAATAATAATTAAATAAATAAAATAATTAATGACAATATAAAATATACAGACTGACAAACCGTCTCCGTTCAGAATCGTTTTTCTTATACAATGATATTATATCATTGAATTCAAGTTTAATACAATCCATTAAACAACGACCAACTTGTAACCTACTGTACAGCTGAGCGACATCCACTTACCTGCCTTTTTTTTATATATATTTTTTATATATGTTTTTTTAGAAAAGTGTTTTTAAAAAAAAAATTTTTTATTAATAATATATGTAATAAATTTACAAACTGTACAATTTGTAGGTAAGACCTACATATAGGCTTTTTTTGATAAAAATGTTGAATTACTCAAAACTTGTTTCAAAATTAAAATTGCAAACATAACCTACATTTAACTGATATTCCTACCATCGAATTTCATAATAAATGTGTCAATTAAATGTAATATTTGAAAACGACAGATTCAAATGAATTATTCGGAACATAAAATTTTCTAAATTATTATGGTGGTAGTTGTGGTAAAATGTGGCCAGACAATATATTTACCGCCACCTAGGAGTCAATACAATAGGTACCTATAGCACTTTACCGTCACCGCTGCAGTGTATTGGGGCGACCTATAACCTATTATAATATTACTTATCTGTACATCACGCCGACCAGTAATAATCTGTATGTCACATTGCACTTTATAACTAAATGATTATGATTTATTAGCAATTATTGAAATTATTGTGCTTTCAACTGTTTTCTATGTGTTAGGCAATGAGTATTTACTTTAGTTTTTGGTGTTACTATGTTAATTACAAGAAATATAGGTATATTAAAATATAGGCATAGAAATAAGGGAACTAAGTATACTTGAAAATTAAAAAAAATTAATGCCAGTGGAAACGGACACTGAATTTGTGTGTATATGATTGAATAAACAGTGGATCGTACCTTATAATATATTTGGAAAGCTATAATAATGATATACCAACAATACTACAGAAAAATATTATCTGTTTGATGTTTTATCCGAAAAGAATAGCTTTTAGTTTTTACCAAAATATTTAGGTAGGTGTGTCACTATTAAGCGTATTCCTACCACCGAAATATCGATAACGTCGAATTCCTGTAAAATGTAAATGTTTATTTAATTGTTACATTAATGGATGTCTAGAGCCAATGTAATGTTTATTTAATTGTTACATTAATGGATGTCTAGAGCCATTCATTTCAAGGTAGGTACACCTATAAAAGAACGTTTTGGACAACAAAACAGTCAGTGATAATAAGCGTTCCGTCCTGTTAATAGGTAGGTACAAGGTACCAGGTACCTGGTAACTTGTATATATTTTTTTAATATTATATCTTAACCCATACAATAATACTCATACACACTTTTCGTATATTTTTTATGAATATTGTCGTAGGTATTGAAAGTCTTGTGTCTATTTTATTATTTACAATGTTGTTGTTCTTTTTTGTTTTACCTAGGTATACAGTGAGTAAGATTTTTCCTGTGGAATTATTTCATTTAAATATGGATAACTGCATTTGGAGTAGAGATTTATATTCAACTTCATCTTGATGTATGAATCCTATCCATGCTTATGGAAAACCAGCCATCAAAATTATTATAAAAACAAATTTTAAAATGGAAGATAAACTGTGATTGTATATTTTTTAGATTTTTCGGTAAGAGAATTAACTACTTACGTGGAATCTTGTTTTAAATTTTCAATCCTTAGCTATAAAAACTGAACATTTTATAATTTATTAATTACGATGATTAATAATTTTCGAGATTTTGAAAAATTCTGTCAAAATTCGATGTTTAAATGCTTATAAAAAAACATGTGCCTATGTATTTTTAATATTTTTCAACTGATATTGTAACAATATGTCAGGAGCCTTGTATTAAATTTTTACACTTTTTGGCCCAACAGATAAAACTTAATTGATATTCATAGAAAAAAAACTAAAAAAATTGAAAAATGAAAATGTCCGTAAACAGCTCAAAAAGAGTAAAAATTTTTCAAAATCGTATGGTGTATAGGAAATGCTAATATAAACATTCAGTGAAATTTTCATGTATCTACAGTTATTCGTTTTTGAAGTGCAACAAAATAAGGAAATCGCTACATGAGAAATCGAGTGAATAACCAATGTTGTAAAAATTTGAATTTCAAACGCTCATAAAAATTTAATTTAACTGTCCGGTAGAGATTTTTTTATTGATACAGGTAGAAAAACTTATGAGTAATCTTGTATTACATTTTCAAATCTTAGATTTAAAAGGAAAAATTTTTACGAATTCTTAACTCAAAATAATTTGCTAATTTTCGTGATTTTTCCATATTTTGTCAATTTTTGAACTTTAAATGCTTATAAAAAAAAATTGTGACTCAGGATTTTTAATATTTGTCATCTGCCTTTGAAACAATATATTAGGAGCCTTCTATTAAATTTTCAAGCTTTCGCAACCAACAAATAAAATTTTATTGATATTTCTAGAAAAAAAACTAAAAAAAAATGAAAAATGAAAATGTCCCTAAACTGTTCAAAATAAATCAAAATATTTTGAAAATGTTATCGTGTATAGAAGATGCAAATATAAACAACCAGTGAAAATTACATGTACCTACGGTCATTTGTTTTAATGATCTAAAGAAATACTTTGTGAAACTGATACCCTAAAGCTGACGTAGAATTTTGTAAAAAAAAAAATTAAATACATACGAAATTCTTTCAATAGAGAGAACAGGAAATATAAAAATGTTAAAATGTTGCTTCGAGAGGGCATACCCTACGTATCAACACTTTGGTAAGTACCTACAATAAAAATAATGTTTTAATTTTTGTAAGGAACAAAAAGTAAATAATATTTTATTCTGGTTATTATAATATATTGATTATTGGTATTATTCCATACACTATATATTACAAGCAGTTACCTATTAAATCTTATAAGTAAATACCGATATACCTACCGTTAGTCGATGTGAATAACTAATTCATGGTTTAATTATATACCTTTTAATATTATAATCAATATATATTTTATTTTTTTTTATTATTGGATAACCCGGGCAACATAGGCCATTGGGTGTGGGGGGGGGACTGTGGGTTTTTAGATTGGGTAGGTTGGTACACGTGTGTGTTGTATTTTGTCTGAATTTCTAATGGGGCACCCGTAGGTTTATGCCATACCCCGGGTGGGGGATGGCGGCACTTGTTCTCCGGACACCATGACTTTCCCGAAGAAAAATGCCGCCCGCGGCCGGTATCGAACCATCCTCAGCTGCGTCGCAGGTAATGCCTCAGTCCAATTGGCCGCTCCGTCCCCAATCAATATATTAAATACTCTTAAATTTTGATTTGTACATTTAAATCTTTGAACATATAGATCTTGTAAAAATATAATTTTTAAGTTTTAACCAATTTGAGTATATTACTATTAGCGATTGATTACTTCACAAATAAATTGAATATTATGCTCTTTAATTTATAATATGGTAATTTATGTGTTTAATTTTTAAAGAACATTATCTTACATTGGACGTTTTAACTTTATAACGGCATCATTTTAGATTCTGATTGGAACGATGAATGTATTGATTTTACAATGATGTTTGTTTTTTTTTTTATTTTTTCATTTTTGTGTCTGCCATCAAATTTTAGGACGGTAAAAGTGCTTGGATTTTCTTCAACAGTATCTTTTCTGATAGGAAAGTGAATCTTGTTGGTACTTTGGGGGGGTCAAAAGTAAAAATTTCACAGTAGTTTTCAAAAGCGCATGTGAAAAACAAAAGAAAAATTAAGGAAAAACTGGAATTTTTACGCAAAATCTTTTTTTGAGAAAATCGATTTTGGTTTTTGGTATTACTCTAAAACAAATGAATGTATACACATGACATTTTCAATGGTTGTTTATATTTGTATTTTCTATACACGATAAAATTTTAGAAAAATTACGGTTTGTTTTGAACTGTTTAGGAACATTTTCATTTAAAATTATATTTTAGTTTTTTTCTAAAAATATCAATAAAATTTTATTTGTTGGTTAAAAAAACATGAAAATAAATTATACAGTGACACACTTGTAACCTACTGTACAGCAGAACACATTTTTCTTTTTTATATTGGAAATTTAAGTTTCTAAAACATGACATTTAAAAACAAAGCATAAGTCATAAGTACACCCACTGACCCACCGTTATGTTTAGCGATTAAAAAATTTAACTACAAAATATTTTTTTTTATTTAGAAATATTTAACAATACAATTACATATTGTTACTAATAGATGATGTCAGAGCACGATTTGATTTCTCTATCTAACTTGCAATATAGACAATTTAATATTAGCAGACCAACCATGCGTAATTAATACTGCACTGTTACTTTTAACATTAAAGTGAATTCACCTATTATTAAACTTTAAATTAAGAAAATTATCTGTGTCTTTGGATTTTTTACGACGGTTAAATTGTCTATGCATTTAAAAATTGTAATAATTTACTCTCTGATAACTTAAGTAACAATCAACATATTATCATAAAATAACCCATGTAGCGACACGGGTAATTTTCTTAACTTAAAATTTGGTTATAGACAAATTCACAATATACAAAATAATAACAACATAGGGTTGCTGAATGTAATATTCGTATCTTTTGCGTGGGTCAGAGAGAAAATACAAATAGTGCACTCACGTTTTCTTAATATAAAATGATGAATATTGTATTTTATAATACGAAAAATATATAATAACAAATAATTCATATTTCAGGTATTTCGATTTATTGAAGTTCACAGTGTCAGAAAATAGCAAGCCGGCAACATGTAAGTAATAATTTATTACAATATTGTTATCATTAAAATGTATGAATATTGTTTAAATTAATTTTAATTTTGAATATCAATTAATAATAATAATGCGAAGGTACAAAATATATAATAGGTAATACGGGATTTACAAGTATACAGGATGGGACTGCATGATAGAAGGGGGGGGGGGGGTTCAATGACCCTACTTAAAAATTCTAAGCCTGTTTTTTATTTTTTTTATTATAAATAAATGTTAAGGAGGTCCCTGGGCCAATTTCGTTTGAGACAGTGAGGTGGGTTATTAGGAAGAGTAAGAGAGGAGAGGTTTGAAATTAGATAATTTGAGTGACTAAAAGTGTTTTTTGGGAACGATTTATAATAGTGGGCCGTAAGTGTATGAATGGTTAAGATTTTGAGGACAGAGTGGAGGGAGTGATTGCTGACGCACCAGGGGATCTGCATCCTATTGTTGATTTTGTTTGATATTCACTTAAATAGCTGTAGCTGGTACATGAGTTCAATATAACAATTTAATATTTGCTTTAATAAAATTAAAATATTGTTTAGAAATCTACGAAAAAACTTCAGATAACGTTCTATGATTTAAATCGTATAATATTTTGGTTTAAGGTACTCTAATATTATTTATAAACTGACAAAACCCATTGGTAAAATTAAGATTTGGGGGGAATGGGGTTGGCTACTAAAACGGATAGGTAAAATTGTTATGGAATTTTAGATATTGCTAGTTTTATGTCCAAATCTAAGTACAATTTGTGGGTAATGGGTTTCTGTTCAAACTCGTCTTTGATGCCTGATATTTCCAAAGAAGAACATAATACGAAGCTAGTGCCGAATCTTAACCCAATGTTGAATGTTTTAAGTTAATTAAATCATAGCTTACTATTTTCATTGGCATAGTATGATTTTGATATAATTCATATATCTTAATTTTTGAATATTTTTTGAAGATTTTCACCAATTATCAATAACAATATTAATTAAAATACTAATGCCTACTTTTATTTCCTCAAATGATGTCAATATGACGTTTTGGCACAAACAATAAATTTAAATAGGGCCATTAAACTATACTATTTGGCCATTATTTTTAAATCTAGACACCTATGACATAAATCAATATTCGCAAATTTTTTACTCAGCATGTTTATTCCGAGTGTCATTGAATTATGTATTATTAGCATAATCGCATTTTCCATCACAAATATTTCAACAGCCGAGTGAAATAATATAATTTAAAATACAGTTTTCGTACCTTGAATTGTATGTTAATATGTTATATGACTCCTTTTGAGAGTTAAGAATATTGCCATTCGCGTTGGCCATATATAGGTGACACGACAAACTTCATATACAAACATAAAGTTTAAATCAGTTTCGATTAAACGTTATTCGTGATCAAATTCCTATTATAAATCAAATAAATGTATTTTTCTTCCTTTTTAAGTGGCCATACTGAGTATACTTACCTCGCTTGCTTTCGCCACAAACCATTGGCTATACATTTTATAATTATCATAAATTATTATAATAATATATAATATTTAATCCTGACCTGCATAAAAAAATACCAATATTGTATAACATTGTATAGGTATTGTTTCATATTTTCATTATACATTAATATTAACAATTGTGCACCTTTTCAGCTGAAGAAGGAAGATGGACCGAATGACGAGAATAAGTTGGAGCAAAGGTCGAAAACTATTCTATCAATATTCTATCAAATTAACATTAACATTATATTATTAATATGTACATCCATATTACTATGGTTTAGGAAAATGAATTTTATTATAATATTAAATGTAATACCTATACATAATAAAGTTAATTAATTTTAATATATTTTTTTTAATCTACTTTGTAGTCAAGCATATTGTGTACATACAGTTTGTAAGTGTGTGAGGGGACCTCCTGACAAGTTCTAATAAATATTTTGAAAATATTTTTTCATATATAATTTACAAACACGCTATACACGCATGTCCCATATATTTGTAAATCTGTTTTTTAGAAAAATTAATTGTGTAAATACTTATTTAAGTTTTGTATAGTTTGTATTTTTGGATTTTTTGGAATTTCATTATTTTTCTTAAATTCTAAAAGTACAATCTTTTTTTAAATAATTCATGAGAAATGTTTAAATATGAATTTGTTAAAAACTAAATAATTTTAGTAAATGCAATTACTGTTCAAATCAAAATCTTTAATTTTCAGTATTAAACAATAAATATTGATTAAAATAAAAGTTAACCTATTTATCAGCTCTTCCTGTTACACACAGGGCTGCATACTGTAGTTCTCTTACCAGGCATTCACAAACGTTCTTAAACATGTACTACTCATATCTCATGTGTGTAATGATAAAAAAAAAAAAACTATTCAAAATTGTATAATAGATACATTTTTAAGTGTCCCGCAGCACTCCTATTTTCATACATTTTAAATCAATGAACGGTGGTAAATTACCCATGTTTAGGAATGTATGATTTAAATTTTTTTTACTTATTTGAAGTTTGAAAACATATCTAGGATGAATAAGAAGTTAATTTTCAATTCTAATGAACCTTTAGATTAAGATTCTTTTCGTTAATCCCATGAAATATTGCATAACATTAGTATTTTTTTGTTGACATATTATCTGATTTTAAATAAAAAAAGTGTTTCATAAAGAGCATGGTCTAGACTCTAGAAGCTCATAAATTCAACAATTTTTCCGAAATAATACAATCAAACTGCAGGAAGTATGTTTAAATTATTACCACTTTTAGTAGCTTTTATAGTAATGTAAATATAAAAATATTTAATTTTTCGTGATGTATTAAAATGTGTGTTTGAGTGCGAGAGTTGATTATGAAGGTTGTTTTCCTGACCCGGCTTTACAGCGATTCTTGGGAACACACTAATGGTTGTTTACTACTCGCACATAGAGATAGCTCAAATGTGCATGTCATGAAAATTGCCTAAATATTACACCTTAAAACATGTTATGCCTGGAGCCCCCAAAACAATAATAATTTATTTAGGTACATTTTAACAGTAGGTATACATTTTTGTAGGTACCTATTTAAACAAAACAATAAATAATATAAGATTTGTTACAAAAATTAGTCAAAATATTAATTTTCAGTTTTCAGGGTACCAAAGTTTGAGAACTGCTGGTATGTACTAAATTAATAACTTACTGTTTATAATACCTATTTATTCAGTAAATATATATATTTTTTTTTGTACATCCTTTTTAGTATAGCGTATGTCTAGTTCTTTTTTTTGTAGAATGACAATTTAAAATTATAGTTAAGAAATATAAAATAAGAAAAACATTTTTATATCGAACGAGAAAGTAACGTAAATAGTAAATACTTTTCTATTTTAAAGGTAAAGTAATTTCATTATAATTATAATTTATAATTTACTATAGTAAGTGGAATTACAGTGTATCAGTGTATGGGTGGAAAAAGTTTTGAACTGTGACAGTCCAAATCTGCCAGCCATTGAGCCATATCGGTTGTATAGGAATGCCATCCCGAATTCGACAGTTAAACCGTTCGTGTATGGGTGCTTATGGTAGAGGGCTATGACTCTATGGGCAAAAAGAACGCTGGCCGGTCGGTCGGCAGCTTTGAACCCGTTCGGGACGAGTCGCATGGCGTCGCCAATGGGGGACGATGGAGATGAACGTTGCAAGGAATATAAACATAATTACATAGAAGTTGTAATAAAATAAATCATGAATATAAAACAAATTGGTCCGCGGAGCAGATGGTAACGCATGGTGGGAGAAAAGTGGTGTTACGGGCCCTGTATCGCCGCAAGTAAACACTTAACACCACTTGCGCGCAACGCATTAACACTACGCGACGCTCTCCTTTATTTTTGTATTCAAATTATTATATTGTTTTATATTCGTTTTGTATTATTGTCTATACCATATTATTATTTATATTTATGTTGTTTGTATAACGGTCAAGCTTGCCCCCGCTACGCTCGGCTACATTCGTTCTCTTTTCACCCCGCGCCCGCGGAACCTCAACCACCCGAGCTCGTAGCGACGCTCCGGGACTTCGTGGCTGCGGTTCACGCCCATGGGCGCCGTGAGGGGGGTGCAAGGGGGTGCATTTGCACCCCCTTGGCTTGACAAAAAAAAAAAAAAAAAAATTAAAAAATTAAATTAAAAAAATTGAATGGTATTAAAACTATTTTATTTTGCATAATTATCTACATTATTTCTATTATTTATTATTATACATTTATACTTATTTTACAATATTGTCTATATAATATATTATTTGAAATTGAATGGTATTAAAACTATTTTATTTTGCATAATTATCTACATTATTTCTATTATTTATTATTATACATTTATACTTATTTTACAATATTGTCTATATAATATATTATTTATATTAGGTATGTAATATAATAATTATTTTTTAAATAATAATTGCAAACGCCTAGGTTTTTTTCCAAATTCTTCAATTGAATTTTCAATGAATTTGGTATCCTCTCCTAGTCTTTTTCTATGTACACTCATCATACACAATCCGGACAATCGGTTATCACCCATAGTGGCTCTGTTCCATGTCTTGACTCGTCTTAAAGTACTGAATGAACGTTCAATGCTGCAAGTTGTTGTTGGAAGAGTTGCTCCGATCTTGATTGCGTCGGCTACAGCTGGATAAAAATCTTTTGACATTTCGATCAAATCTAAGTATTCAATAGAATCTAATGGTTTTTCACCATTATTCCACATTTCATACCATGTTGTGGCTTCAGTTACAAAATTTGATGACAAAATATTTCCATAGAGTTTTACAATATCATTTGATGTGCAAATAAACTGTTCTTTACTCACGTTTTTCATAGCATAAGGATGAAGATCCATTAGAGAAAATGATTGATTGTGAATTTTAGAAAAGCGATCTTTTAATGATGATATAACTGAATCTAGATAAGGAACGAAAATGGATATTCTGAAAAACTCTTCATGGCTTGTAGATGGATGATTTGATCTTTGACTTTGTCGTGCAGCAACTCGAGGTGGACGTATTTCAACATCAAGTTCTTCAGCGATTTCTTTAGATTTTGCAAATAATACGGTAAATTCAGTGGACGCACAATTTCTATACAACTGCAAAGTATCAACTAGTTTAGTTATGTGATTGTTCACCGTTTTCAAATTTATATTAACTTTTTGAAGTAGATTGCATACTGGTTCAAATTTAGCGGAATAAACAGCTATTACTTGCAATGTAACAATAAAAACTGGTGTAGTAGCAGCAGTAAAGAGTTGATAAGATTTAATTTTGGTTTTTGAATTTGCTGTACTTTTTGATAGTTCTTCCAAAGCTTTGACAATAACAATAAAATTGTCAGCAAAAATTCTAATACTCTTATATTTTGCTGACCAACGAGTTTCACAGAGTAAAGGAATATTGGGAATAATTTGTCTACGCAATGTGCTCTCTCTAAAAAAATTTATTATTTCTTTTATGATCCCGGTTGTATTTCTTACTTCACTTACGTTATTTAAATCATTAAATACAAGATTCAATACGTGACTAGCACAATGGAAGAATAGCGCCATAGGATAAGCTTCATTAATTAATTTTTGAACGCCACTTATATGCCCAGCCATTGTAGCGCATCCATCATATCCTTGGCCCACAAGTCGATTCAAATCTAAATTACAACTTTCTAAAAATTCAATGATGGTTTTGGCAATGGATTTAGAATCTAGTTTTGTAAGAGGCGAGTAACCAAGAAATTCTTCACAAATTTTGTGTTTTTGAAACTTAACGTCGTAAAACAAATACCGAACACCTATTGACAATTGTTCGGTGCCACTTATATCGGCAGTCTCGTCAGCTAAGACCGAAAAAACAGATGAAAGTTTCACTTCTTCAATAATGTTTTGTCGAAGTACATTAGCACAAGTTTTAATTAGTTCATTTTGAACTTCATGTGAGATATATAACGCATTTTTAGCTCCAGACTTTAAATGCTTATTCAAAACTTCATCCCCTGATTCGACACGGAATTGTAATAAATCTGTAAAAACTGAACCTTCGTCATTTTTACCTCTTAGTGGAAGATCGTGCTTTGCACAAAATAAGATTGACGATATGATAGAACGAAGTTTCACCCTGTTTTCTTCTATTTCTCTATTAAATGCCGAATCTATTTGCTCATGAACACTCAATTGTTTTCTCTCTTTTGAGTTTAAAAAATGTTGTGACGCATTAATTGCGTCTTTATGCCAAATACTAATTTCATGAGCCTTTGAAACCTCGTTAAATTTTTGATATTTTATGCATGGTGAAACAATGAATGCTCCTTGAACACCTCTATGTACTCGAGGTCGAAATAATACACAAACGCGACATAGTGGGCCTTTAGAAACAGCTGAGTAACTTAGCCATGGATAAAGTGCAAACCATTCTATACGAAATACTCTCGTAGAGCCGTTGGTCAAATCTTTTTTGAAGTCATATGTTTTTGATGGAACCCAGGGGTCCTTCAATAACTTTAAACGTAATTCGTCATCAACGTAGGAATTCAAATACAGTCCAATATCTAATTTATTAGCACCAACAGTCAACTGATGAAGGAGTTGTGGCACTTCTTTTTGTTGGCTACTATTAGAACTATTAGTACTTAAATTACTTAAATTACCTATGTCATGATTGCCTTCATTTATACTTGATTGGAGTTGTGGCACTTCTTTTTGTTGGCTACTATTAGAACTATTAGTACTTAAATTACTTAAATTACCTATGTCATGATTGCCTTCATTTATACTTGATGGACTTAATTCTATCTTGCGTTTCTTTTGCAAAAAATTTCGTATGTCACTCATTTTTATATATTAATAATTTTACGTAAGAACTAAAATAATAAGCACGTTGAGATATACACACACGGACACACGACTGTCGACTAATAATGATTCCGATTTTATCGTATAGTGTCGATGGATGTATAGGACATATCAGTTGTCACGTGTATAATATACACTGTATGTCTGTATATTCAATATATAAATCGGTCATTTTTATCGCATGCGATAAGCTTACGAGTTGTCGATCATTATCGGATTTTCTAATCGCAGCCAATATCCCGCATTACTTTGACATTACTTCTGACGAATAAAAAAAAAATAACTTTGTATCGTCATTTAATTTGAAAAAATATTTCTACGTATTTAACTAAAATTATTTATACATTATTTAAAAATCGGCGTATACTATGCACGATGCACCCCCTTGACAAAATTCCTGCCGGCGCCTATGTTCACGCCCGGTACCAATCGCAGCACTCGACGTGCTACGTTCGCCCCGAGCGATCTGAACCCAGGTCAGTCACGTTTTCATTCGAGTCGAAACCGTCAAACCACCTCTCCAGCCACTATGCGAGGGGTCCTTTGCGGTTCTGGAACGCCGAGAGAAAACATTCTAGGTACAGCGCCATCGATCAACGACGTGGATTTCAATCGACCGCCTCAAGCCAGCTTTCGTCGCGCGCCAGGACCCGACCGCCGACCACTCATACGCGCCGCGCACGCAATCGAGAAAAAAAAACGAGTACGTTCTTTGCTTCCCGGGGGGAGAAATGTGGCGATAACGAGGTCTCGTCACCACTTGCGCACCGCGCGTCTTTATTTTTGTGTTCAAATTATTATATTGTTTTATATTCGTTTTGTATTAGGTATTGTCTACACTACCTCTATGTTATTTATATATTTTATGTCCTTTGTATAACGATCGAGCTTGCCCCCGCTACGCTCGGCGGCAACGGCTCCCGCTACGACGGCTACGACGCCGTTGGCCGCCAAACATTCGTTCTCTTTGAGTACCTCGTTCGTTTCGCTCACTCACTCGCATTTTTTGTATATTTCGTACTGCGTACGACATTTTATACTTGTTAACGAATTGTTTAAATACTGTTTTTAATAAACCAACCTCGACGCTCTCGCGTCACTCCGAACACTCGTCTCTGTTTATTTAACTCGTGTTACACTTCTGACGAGAAGTCAGAGCGTATTTGTAAGTGTAGTCGCAACTGGTCAACCTCCTAAACCACGGGGCTTCTACGCTTACCAAAATATAATTTATAAGAAAAAAATTGTGATAATGATGTCGTAAGCTCTTGCACTTGTTATAAGCCAGGTAGGCTTACAACTAGTTTTTGTAGGAAGTGAAGGTACCTAACTCAAAATAAACAACAATTTGTTAGTTAATTAAGTATATTTCAAATGAAACGCACACATGTCGACAATGATGAAGTTCGAGTCTTACGCTTGTAATAAGACTGTTGTCCCACTGCCCTTTACATTGCACTTATATATCTGCAATTATGTTATAATTAAACAGTTTATATTCGCGCTACATACTCGCGTGGGTCTAGTGCACATCGCCGCGATCGTTTAGCCACCAGCGTTTCACCGCGATTTATTTCGCCGCCAACTTTTCGCCGCGAAATGTTTTCTTTCGTTTGAATTATTATAATTAGTTATAATTAATAATAATAATAATTTAAATCGTCATTGAATATACATTATATACATATTGTAAACAGTAAATACCTACTACTATAATTTGGGCCAAGCCAAGTAGGTATTTTATAATAATAATTAACAGGTAATTATTAATTATTACTTAGTACCTATAAGGAATATCTACCTCAGGAGGATGAAATACTGAAGTCAGTATCATTGTATAAGAAAAACGATTCTGAGCGGAGACGGTAAGTCAGTCTATGTATAAGACATATTAATATATTATATACATAATAAATTCCAAATTAATCATATCACAATATCCATTAGGTACTTATAACGCGTTATACATCAACTAAAACCGTGATACTATCATAGATATATAATAGTACACTTTAGAAGTTTCAAGTACCCACGAATAATATTATTCAATCACAACAAAATAACTAAAATAGTTATTCTAGGTTTTTTATTATGTAATTTCGTCCAAATTTGAATTTAAAATGTCTGTAAAAAATAACTGTGTTCATATATTTTTTTAGATTTTTTGGTTATAGTACCTATGACCTATTTATGAGAAATTTTGTTTTAAATTTGCAATCCTTAGCTATAAAAACTGAACATTTTATAATTTATTAATTACCTACAATGATTGATAATTTTCGAGATTTTGATACATTTTGTCAAAATTCCAACTTTAAAAGATTATAAAAAAAAATTGTGCATATGTATTTTCAATGTTTTTGAACTGATATTGTAACAATATATCAGGAGTCTTGTATTAAATTTTTACACTTTTTGGCCCAACAGATAAAACTTAATTGATATTTATAGAAAAAAAAAACTAAAAAAATTTAAAACTGAAAATGTCCGTAAACAGCTCAAAAAGAGTCAAAATTGTATGATGTATAGAAAATGCTAATTTAAACATTCAGTGAAATTTTCATGTAAAATCAATACATTCATCATTTCACTCAGAATCTAAAATTTCAAACCACGTTTGTACAAAACTAGTATGTTGTGTACCTAGGTACTTGTGTAGGTACCTACTTAAATGAACAACGATACTGCAAAAGAATACACTAGGATAATAATATAATATGATGTAAATACTGTTATTATACACATACATGTGTATTTTGTATAGGGCCCGGAACTTGATGCATTTGCATCTTTTTTTCTAATGCTTACATTCGAGGATCGTCTCATTGATTCATGAGTTACCTATTTAATTTAGGTACCTATAATTAGAATTTAATGGCACAATTTTAATTTTGCATTTTTTGCGTTTTTAGAGAATTTTGTGCTTGACGGTCATTTTTTAATAATTTTAGTAAATTTTATTCATTATTGTACTTTTTTTACTTAAACCAATTTGCATTTTTCTAGTTGAAAGTTACACTTTATTGTAACATATTCAGTTTCCATTAGTTAGTCGATTATCGACGTTCATTATCTTTATAGTTTGTTGTTGTGATCTACGATTATTTAATAAACTGTTGACAGATACTATTTTAGGCCCGGTGCACAAGTGTGTTATTTTTTAATGCCGTTTCCCCTGCATTATTGTAATTAGCTCAGATAATTTTACTGATTCTCACGAGAAAATTCAATTAGCAAGAAACTGTTTAAGAAAAAAATGCAATTGTAAAACAATGCAGATTATATTTTCAAAAATATTGGAAGGACAAGAAGTGAAAAAAGAAGGATTGCCAGATGATTTGAATGCAAATTACATCACTTTTTCAAACATGCGCCAATTACATCTGTGGAAGTCGAAAGAAGTTTTTCAACCTACAAAACTTTGTGCTGATCTTCTTTATTAGGAAATATTAAACACACTTTAAATATTCAGTGTGACATGTTCATGTAACAGATTTATTGTTTAAAGGTTATCAAGTAAATTATACTTAAATTGTTTAAGTAATAAAAACATACTTAAATTAAATCTCTACCACAGGAACTATATTATGAAAAAGTTGCTCTGCTGTACAGTAGGTTACAAGTGGGTCACTGTATAATGGATGGTATTAAATTTGAATTCATTGATATAATATCATTGTATAAGAAAAACGATTCTAGGGGGAGACGGTATGTCAGTCTAGATATAAGACATATTATATACTTATCTATGGTATTAAAAAAAAAATTGACCTATAATAAATTCCAAATTAATCATATCACATTATCACAATATCCATTAGGTACTTATAACACGTTATACATCAACATCAATAACAAATCCTGATACTATCATTGATATATAATAGTAAACTTTAGAAGTTTCAAGTAGGTACGCATGAATAATATTATATAATCACAACAAAATAACTAGGTTTTTTAATGTGTAATTTCGTCCAAATTTGAACATAAAATGACTATAAAAATAAACTGTGATTGTATATTTTTTAGATATTTTGGTAAAAGAATTATCTACTTACGTGGAATCTTGTTTTAAATTTTCAATCCTTAGCTATAAAAACTGATTATTTTATAATTTATTAATTACGATGATTAATAATTTTCAAGATTTTGATAAATTTTGTCAAAATTCCAACTTTAAATGCTTATAAAAAAAAACTGTGCCTGTGTGTCTTTTTAATATTTTTCAACTGCTATTGTAACAATATATCAGGACTCAGGAGCCTTATATTAAATTTTTACACTTTTTGGCCCAACAGATTAAACTTTATTGATATTTATAGAAAAAAAAAAACTAAAAAAAATTGAAAGCTGTAAATGTCCATAAACAGCTCAAAAAGAGTCAAAATATTTTCAAAATTGTATGGTGTATAGGAAATGCTTATACAAACATTCAGTGAAATTTTCATGTATCTATAGTTATTCGTTTATGAATAACAATAAAATAAGGAAATCGCTACATGAGAAATCGAGTGAACATCCAATGTTGTAAAAATTTGAATTTCAAACGCTCATAAAAATTTAATTTGACTGTCCGGTAGAGATTTTTTTATTGATAAAGGTAGACAAACTTATGAGTAATCTTGTATTACATTTTCAAATCTTAGATTTAAAAAGAAAAATTTTTACGAATACTTAACTCAAAATAATTTGCTAATTTTCGTGATTTGTCAATTTTTGAACTTTAAATGCTTATAAAAAAAAACTGTGACTAACGATTTTTAATATTTTTCATCTGCCTTTGAAACAATATAGTAGGAACCTTGTATTAAATTTTCAAGTATTTCTACTCAACAAACAAAGTTTTATTGATATTTTTAGAAAAAAAACTAAAAAAAAATGGAAAATGAAAATGTCCCTAAACAGTTCATAATAAATCAAAATATTTTGAAAATGTTATCGTGTATAGAAAAGGCAAATATAAACAACCAGTCAAAATG